TTTCTGCTCTAATCTTTTATTATTTCTTTTCTTTTGGTGGCTGTAGGTTCCCTCTGTTGGTCTGTTTCTAATTGTTGTAGATGTTATGTTAATATGTTAATTTTGGTTCTTTCTTCTTTTTGGATGTGTGCATTTATTGCAATAAATTGTCCTCTCAGAACCACTTTTACCGTGTCCCAAAGATTTTGGTATGTTGTGTTTTCATTCTCATTTGTTTCTAGGAACTTTGTGAATTCATGTTTGATTTCTTCTACTACCCAGTTGCTTTTCAGCAGGGTGTTATTCAGCTTCCATGTATTTGATTTTATTTCTTTAGTCTTCCTATTATTGTTGACTTCTAATTTGATAGCACTGTGGTCTGAGAAGATGCTTTGTAGTATTTTGATATTTGTAAATTTATGGAGATTTGTTTTGTGGCCTAAAACATTGTCTATTCTGAAGAATGTTCCATGTGCACTGGAAAAGAATGTGTATTATATGATTACACCGTTGTATTTGATTGATAGCTTTGGTGGATAAAGTATTCTTTGGGTTGAATGCTCTGTACACAACTATGAGGTCCACTTGGCTTATTGTGTTGTTTAGTTCTTCTGTGTCTTTGTCAAGTTTCTTTCTGGTTTTTCTATCCATTTTTGAAAGCAGTGTATTAAAATCACCCACTATTATTGTAGATTCATCTATTTCTTCTTTCAAATCTATTAGAGTTTGCTTTATATATTTTGGAGCTGTTTCACTGGGAGCATAGATATTTATTATGGTTATGTCATCTTGTTCAATTGTCCCTTTAAACATGACATACTGTCCATTTTTATCTATTATGCTGGTTTTTGCCTTAAAGTTTATTTTATCAGAGTTTAGTACTGCCACTCCTGTTCGTTTTTTATTGCAATTAGCTTGGTATATTTTTTTCATCCTTTCACTTTTAATCTGTTTTTGTCTCTGTGTGTGAGATGTGTCTCTTATATACAGTATTATTGAAGGATCTTGTTTTCTTATGCATTCTGCCACTCTCCGTCTCTTAATGGGTGCATTTAATCAATTTACATTCAGTGTAATTATCGATAGGTATTGATTAATTGCTGCTATTGTTTTTTTTGTGTGTGTGGTGTTGCTGCTTTCTTTGTTCTGTGTGTCCTTTGTTGAGTTCATGCTTTTTGTGTTCTTTCTTGTGAGTTTCCTCATAGTTTTAATGTTTCCATGTTCCTCTTGGATTTTTATTCTCTTGGTATGTTGCGAAGTGTTAATTTTCTTTGAGGTTACCTCATAGTCCATAAACTTTTCTCTCCATTTAGTATAGTCTATTTTACCCTGTAATCTACCTGACCTTCTCACCATCTGGATCTCTGTTCCTATGTGTTTACCTTCTTTTACATTGTACTTGTTTTGATCATAGACTGACCTCCCAGATTCTCTGAGTTTGTTCTTATAGTTTTGTTCTAGTATCGATTCTTCCTTCTGTCGACTTAATGCTGGGAGGTGCTGCCACGCACGTCAATCTCTGGTTGTTGTCTGTTCTTGTTGATTCTTAGTCCATAGAACTCCCTTTAGGATGCTTTGTAGTGCAGGGTTGGCTTTGGCAAAATCCCTTAGCTTCTGTTTATCCTGGAATGTTTTGATTACACTGTCATATTTGACTGATAGCTTTGCTGGATAAAGCATTCTTTGTTGGCATTTTTTTTTTTCTTTCAGGGTTTTATACATGTCTCCCCATTGCCTTCTGGCCTGCATGGTTTCTGCTGAGAGATCCGAGCTTAAATCTGACTTGCTTGCCTTTGTATATGACACTTCTGTTTTCCCTGGCTGCTTTCAGAAGTTTCTCCTTATCTTTGATTTTTGGAGAGCTTGATTATGGTATGTCTTGGTGATTTTCTTTTGGAGTCTATCCTTCCTGGGGTTCGTTGAGCTTCTTGAATGTTTATCTTTTCACTTTTCAGGATATTAAGAGATATTTTCTTCTAGCAGTTCTTTAAGTATTTGCTCTGTGGACTTGTGTGATTCTTCTTGTTCTGGAATGCCAATAATTGTTAAGCTATTCCTCTTCATGTTGTCCAACATGAATCTTACAGCATCTTCAGATTTTTTAATCCTTTTTTGTGTTTGCTCTTCTATCTAGTGGTATTGAGAGATTTGTCTTCCAGTTCACTGGTTCTGCCTTCCATCTCGTCTATTCTACTCCTTTGCCTTTTCAGAGTATTGTCTATTTCTGATATTCTGTTATTGATTGTTTGGACCTCTTTCTGTAGGTCTTGAATTGTTTCCAATGCTGTATCTATCTTATTTGATTGTTCCTGCAGCACTTTCCTGACTTCTTCCTTATTTTTCTGAACTCCATTGTAAAGTGTTTTGAAACATTTTATAATTATTTCTCTGAATTCCTTCTCAGGCATTTCCAAGGCTTGCCCTTCTTCCAGAATGGAGTCCAGGCCTACCTCTAGGTCATTTGTCTCAGATATTTTATCTTGTTTCTGGACATGTGCTGATATGGCCATCTGCTTTTGCTTCTTGGACATGTTTAGTGTTTATCTGTGGCCTTAAAACTCAACTGAGTATGTGTTTTGATATTTTTTTATGCTTTCTGATTGCTTCCAGGAAGATGTGATCAGGATGTGGGCTTCCCTTTTCACTCTTCTTATTACATAACTCAGAGTAACTTTCACAGGTGCTGTCTATTTCCCTGGTGTAAGGCAGTTGGTATTGGTTCTTGCCTGGGTTTTGGTGTTTTGTAGAGTGTGATTGTAGCTTGGCTATATGGCAGCAGTTGCTGACTCTTCTTGTGTAATATATGGAGAGAAAGAGCCCTCCAAAGGTACAAGGGGGAGCATAAAACAGCAAAACTGCACCAGCAAAAAAAAAAAAAACCAAGAGGAAAAAAAAAAGACAAAACCAAACAACAGCAACCACAAAAACTAGACTGAATTCTGCAGTCTATAATCACAGAAAAGGGAGAGTAGGGAGAGATGGAAAAAGAAACAAAAATCTGTAGCCTAATATGAGTATGACTTTAATGTCCTCTCTTCAGTTTCTTGCTTTCAAAGCTGACTGAGAGATTTCAAGATGCCAGTGTTGGTTTTTATTCTATACCTCAGACTTTAATTTAATTTTTGGCTTGTTTTGTTTTAAAACTCTTTCCCTCTTTACAGCCCTGTCCTGCCCTTTCCTGTATTAAAAAACAAACAAACAAAAAAACCGTTCAGGGCCTGCTCTTCGGTTGAGTATCTGTGCGCATGCGTGGCAGAAGACAGTGGTGAGGGTGGGGGGGTGTCCACTTGCTCAGGCTCCCCCTCTAGTCACCAGAATGGAGGTGCACAAACAGTGGTCATGCCAATGACCAGATATAAAAAAAAAAAGAAAATCAGAACAAAGCAAAACTGACAAAGTGTATTGTCAACCTTTGCTCCAAGGTTCCCGCGGCATTTTTCCATGGTGTGTCTGCTCCCCTGCTTGGTCTTGCTGTTTGGTCTTGCCCAAGATGTTGGCTCCAGGCATCTGAGCCCGGCGGATTCAGAAGTACGTGATTTCTTACTTCGGCTTCAAGTTCCAGTAGCTATAAGCCTTCAAACTTTTAAAATATTCCTAGCTCTGTGGTTCTGAGCTTTGGAGCTCTGCTCTGGATCCGTTTTACCTGGTATTCTGTAGTATGGCTTACAGCGAACCTCACTGTACCTCCACCCTACTGCCATCAAGCCCCGTCTCCTTGACTTTCTATCACCAAAAATAAAGTAATTTTTTTCCTTTTACAACCATTGATTAGGTTCTTGTTATCTATAAGATATGAAGCCCTGGTGTGGCGCTGCAGGATAATGCACCGGACCACTGGATTGGCAGTTTAAACTCACCAATGACTCCTTGGAAACCAACTCAATGGCACTTAATAAAACCAAAAATCTCTAAGACAATTCCAGGAGGTGGGGACAAAGAGAGTAGATTATGAAAGTGGTGACTGTATTATAAAAGAGAAATGATTCCTCTACAGAAGCAAAGGAACATACAATGAAATGTAGACATAGTATGAGGATTAAGTATGGTGTCTCTTGAAAGAAGCGGTATTTGAGCTGAAGCTTCTTGTGAAGTGGCAGGTCAACATGAAGGGAAAAGGAGTAAAGAAGGGCCACGAACGACAGTAAGGAAAACACAAAAGGACAAGGTGTGTTTGGAAATGACAAGGGGGACTTTATATCTTTAAGCACAAAATATTACAGCGTGAACATTCTAGAATGGAGATATTTTTAGCAGATTATGAAGGGTCTTAGATGCTACATCAAAACATCTAGCTTTTCATCTACAAGCAATAAGAAGCTGCTCAAGATTTCTTGAAAAAGCAGAGTCTATGAATCTTAAAATTCTGGATAAATGTGATTATATGCAGAATGGACTGGAGAGGGAAGAGACAGGGAGCTGGGTGAACAAGAAAGATCTTACTGTTCCGGAAGAAAGCACTAAAGGCCTGGGTTGGGGCAATGGCAATGGTGAGAGGTTAATGGGAACTCAAAGAAATGGAATAAAAGCAAGAGAAAATATTGGAGAAGACTTTAATCACCATTATCACAAAATTCGTTAAACTGAATTTATACTATGACATTAGAATAATATAAAGAAAAGAATTTTGATTTTCAAACCTGATTTAGCAAAAAGTGTACAGAACCCACCAGTAAGGGCGTTGGATTCAATCTTAGTATCATGCCTTTCAGTTTCCTCCTCTATAAAATGGGCTGTAGCACTGTGTTAGCTCTCAGTGGGAAGGAACACAGGGACCTGGTACATTGCAGCGTGCTCTCCAGCGCCGTTATGTGCGCAGCTGTAATCATCAACACAAACGTAGGCTCTAAGCACTGTTGTTGTGAAGTCTGTCAAGTCGGTTCTGACTCACAGTGAACATGTCTAGGGTTCCCAAGGAGCAGTTGGTGGGTGGGAACTCCTGAACTTGTGGTATGCAGTCCAGTGTGCTGACCCTATAGCACCATGCCAGGAGTCCGGATTCTCAGCAGAGTGGATTATATTACCTTGAGATGGTTCCTCCTGTGACTTCTCGAAGGAGGCGGCAATGATGAGGAACAAAATCCAGAAGTTTATCATATATGATCTGAAGGCCATTTGGATGAGACTGAACAAACGGTTCTATAATCACCTATGAAAAGGAATATCAGTTTTTACACACTTTAGGAGAAGTATGAACTATACTAGTATACACTAGAGAAAAGAACGAAAATCTTCTTCCTCATGCTCCTCCCCTGCCAAAATGGCAAGTTTTCTAGAGCAGCAAGGTAAATAGTAAACTACAATCATAACTAAGGAGCTCTGGTAGCGTAGTGGTTATGAGTCAGGCTGCTAACCCAAAGGTCAGCAGTTTGAAACTACCAGCCGTTTCACAGGAGAAAGATGAGGCTTTCTGCTCCTGTAAAGAATTACGCCTCGGAAATCCTGTACAGGGTCGATCTGAGTCAGAACTGACTCCACAGCATACTACCACCACTAGTAACTAGTTCCTAGAATTACAAGGCACAGTTTTGATCTTGGAGTAGAAACAGGCTAGATGACAGAGTCAGAAGTTGATGAACCAGACTCATCTGCATTCCTCCTGAATGGAAATAAAAGATTCTAATTAAACACATGATTTCACATGCAAGAACTCATGACTGTCTCTACCTTCACCTTTTCTTCTTTCCTCATGCATATTAGGGGATAGCTTAAAAAGGAAAAAGATGGAAGAAAATACATTTCTTCTTTTTTTTATTTATTTATTTATTTTTGTGTGTGTGATAAGGCTGATAGACAAAAGGGTATATCACAAGATGATAAGCACACAAGTTTAAATGAAATGTGGCCACGAACTGCTAACTGCAAGGTAGGTGGTTCAAACCTACCAGCTGCGCCTCAGAAACTTTATACAGAGTTGTTATGAATCAGAACTGACTTGATGGCACCTAATTACATGGATTATTTAATATGCCACTTAAACATCAAATATTCTTTAATTTAGCACTCTAGATTCAGTCCAGTGGAGTGGAGGGAAAGGCATAACTTAGTAACAAAATATTTGCACGTATTTATAAAGTGCACAATTTTCTTTTTTTTAAAAGTTTTTATTGTGAACTGAGTGACAATTTACATAAGAGAACATTGGTTTTATACCATAGTTTCAATGCAATGATTGCAATCTCCTCTGTGCATCATCATTCAACAGTATTTGCTTCTATTCCCTGTGTTGTTTTTTTTGGGGGGTGGGGTGGGGAGGTGTATACAAAACCACTTAGGAATATATAATAGCATAATTGTCTTTTTCACCCTGATTGAGACAGCTACAAACTGTAACAGATACAAGAAGACGGAATTGACAGGTACATCTTTTTTGGAGGGGTGGAGGAGTATTTTTATTTATTTTGATTACCCCCTTTTGATCAGAATTCTTGCACAGACTCTTTGCTCAGTAACAGTAGTCAAGCATTATCTAGTTCTGGTCTCATGAAAAAGGAGACAGTTGTTCATGGAGCTGATCAACTACACAGTCTTGCCTCCTCCTGACAGCCCTTCTTCCCATGGTACTACAGGGGAACAGAAACCAACTATTGTGCCTTGGATGGCTTGCAAACTTTGAAGACTCCAGCAACTATGCATCAAATTAAGAGGCAGAACAGAAGCACTAAACACATTCTGACCCTAATTAACTGGGATGTCCCAGGAAAATACGACCCTACATCCCCACATCAAGAAACCAACCAAATCCCAGGAGGTTTCTGGTTGCACCTAAGCAGACTCAGCATTTTTTTTTTTTTTAAGTCACTGCTGTAAATATATCTATCATACAACTTTTTCCGGGTATACAACTTACTGACAGCAGTTTAACAGCTGGTCAGCCCTACCCTTAGTCAACAATTTCCATCATCAATAACCACCCCTTTTCTTTCCCTTCCTGGTAACCACTAATAAGTAATGTCTTACAATGCTGACCCTTTTCTGATTGACTTATTTCATTCAGCCCAGCTGACCAGCTCTACCCATAGTGTAGCAAGGTCATTTATTCTTAGTAACCCTAATAAAGCTGACAGAATTATTAACATTAATCCCTGTTTTCATTTTTATCAGTGGGATTCAATTTTCTCCTAAAAAAAAACATAAACTGTTATTAAGAAGTCATGCTGATTATCAGTTTTGAACGGACTGACTAGAAACAACAGTCTCAGTGGCTCTGTCACTGCTGTCAGTGTGACCTTGACAGAGCTGTCACTAGTGTATGCCAGAGATGCTCAAACATCGGCAATTGCATATGGCACAACCTAGATTCTGGCTGTCACATTCAGAATTAAGGTAGTATTCGTCATTTCATTTATTAAAGTCTTTCATCTTTGAATATTTAACCCCCTGGCAAACTCCATATTTTTCAAGATCTTAAATATCACCTAGACTTTTGGTATACCACTGGCTTCTGTCCCAATACACTTTGCTATATTCACAGAATTCTTTGTGCACACACTCCACTGAGACTCATAGATAAGTAGTCTAGGACTTTTTAAAAACAACTACTTAGGCATAATGTACATGTTGTTGTTGTTAAGTGCCACTGAGTCGATTCCGACTCACAGTGACCCTGTATAGGGTTTCTGAGAAGCAACTGGTGGGTTTGAACTATTGATTTTGCAGTTCAAACCAACCTTGTGGTCTAGTGCCTGATCCTGCAGTGCCCCACCAGGACGTCATAATGTACATACTTAGCCCAGTAAAATATCTAAGACATACTATGTCGTGGTTAAGAGCTGCGGCATCGGTTCCGATCTGTAGTGATGCTGCACAGGGTTTCCTAGGAGCAGCTGGTGGGTTTGAACCACCAACCTTGTGGTTCACAGTCCACAGCACCACAACAGGAAGTCTAAAATATAGTAGTATGCTCTATAAAAGTTTGCTGAATGAAGGCTGTGAGGTGCACATACCTCGTCTATATATGGTTTCACTAGGACTTGACCCACTAATGCCTCCGCATCCCGCGTCTTGTCGATGGTTGCGTAAGTCCACAAGCAGTGTCGTATTATGTCGACATTGGAAGTCTGCAGGCCTTCTAACAGAAGACCTTTCAGGGACTGCTGTAACATGGCTGTAATGCCAGCTATACGCTGCAAGAAGAAACAGACACATCAAGAAAGCTCAAGTTGGAACAATTTCTAAAATTAAAAATTCATATATGTATATACATAATAAGTCTCTTGCCTCAATAGAAGTCACTATACACAAAATTTAGCCGTTAGTAATTCCTGGAGAGTAACAAATCTGTTTAATAATAAATCTCAATGTTATCAGAGTTAGAAAGAACTACTGAATGAGGAAAAAAATTGTTTTCCTCTTAAGCCTAAAGAAACTTTGATTATCACATCATTGATTTAAAGTCCAGTCAAAGAACTTGTTGTTGTTGTTGTC